AAGCAGAGTTGTCACAACTGCAGACCGCACTGTCTTGCAGTGCCACATGCACTTGTAGGCTTTTATTTACTATGATGAACTTCTCGTGAAAAACAGATTCTGTGACTAATTTAAGCCTTCAGGTCACACTGCAAGCTGTCTCCTATATATCCTTAGGCTGGAAAAGAGCTGGCAACCTCTATCCAAGGGGCTAAGTGAGTATTGAAAAGAACTAAAAAGGGGACTAGATAATCATGCTTCATAGCATTAGGAGTTGTCATTGTAGTATGAGCTTTGAAACTATTTAAACAAGGAATATGGGAAGAGAAAGTTTTCATTTCAAACTTGGTGTTTTGTCATAAAAAAGCATTATGTCAAAATTCAATGTCTGTCTCTCAGAAAAGCAACTGTCCCAGTTCATCTGTGGTCGAATTAGACCTATGTAGGGAATTATTATCTATAGTTTTCAGAGAACATCTGAAAGGGAGTATTTCTCTACTCTCTCAGGACTGAGAGAAGAAAAACATTAGAGCCTGGCTAGAGGGGAGCCCCTGCCTCCCAAGGCTTGACACCAGAGACCGAAAGGAGAAAAAACCCAAGAGAGAGTAAAATAACAGTCCAATGCAGCAGACTAAAGTTTTCAAATACTTTGTCAAATTCAAGTATGTGAAGGATATAGAACTAACGTTTACACCCTACTCTATGCAAACAAACAAATTTCCCCTCCTCTTGGTTAATTCTAATCATAAGCCAAACTGCAGAAGTCTCCACTTCCTTATTAACATTTAATAATGTCAGAATCACAAAGTTTTGAGGTATAAATTTGGAACAACTCAAGAGCCACAAGACAATTCAGTTCCTGTCATCATTCAGATAGAGGAAGATCCCACTTGTGTGACATGGACAACTAGAGAATAACTCTTCAGGCATCTGCTGTTAAAACTGCTAGCAACAAGATACTGATTATAAAGAATAAAGGCTCTACTACAGGAATTCTTTGCTTTTCAAATATTAGTTTGACCATATTCAAGACTCACACAGAACCCTAAGAAATCTAATCTGGCCTCATAGTTGTCTCTGCTTCAAGGAGGACATTGGAATAGATGAATTCACAAAGTCTCTTCAAAAATGACCATTTTTTATTCTTTTCATAAATACCTGCTTTTATCCATCAGTGCCAATGAATGTCATGTACCTTTTCAACCTGAGAAGCTGAAATGTATGGCCATTTTGCAATACTGAACCACTTTTAATTGATAAGTAGAATCTGTACATTTTACTGAAACCTTAATACCTTTTCCTGAGACAGGAATGACTTTGGAAAGGAAGCACAAAGATGATCCTCATATTCTACATGAAAGGTGATCTATAGGAAGGATGCAGTGACTCCAAAACTTTCTTTCCAAAACATTAGCACCTCTCCTGTTAGTAAATCAACAAAATCGCTCCACCCCTTTCACAGTTTAGAGGCCATTGAGAACCAAATAAAACTGCTATAACAAGATGTATGTTTTCCCTTGATGTTTCACAAAGTACTGATCTACCCTGCTCAGTCATAAGCACTGAACTTTTCCAGAAGATTCCCTGCAGGAAGCAATAATCTTAAAAGTCTTTTAAAAAAAAGTCCCATTTATCAGAGCGAGGGTGGCTTTGTGCATTCTTCATCTCTCCAATTTCTATGTCGGGTTTGCTTAGCTTGAGTTGAAAAGGATCTGGATCTTTCACTTCAGATCAGATGAACTGGGTTCTGTCAGTCTTCAGACAGGAGTAAAGCTCTGCAAGTCAAATGAAGGTCTTACAACTGCTCAATCCCATTAACCTTCATTTGCACACTCAAGTGGACCCTTGCTAAAGCTTAATTAGCAAATATTCTGCAAATGGAAAAAGACTCCTGCTCCTTCCTCTGCTTTGTATTAAATCCACACAGTGCACAAGCAAAGCCATCATTTTGCAAGAACTTCCTCACACAGGGACAGGCCAGTTTAAAGGTGATCTTTCTTATGAAGCTTTTTTTGGTGCAGAATGATGTATGGCTATATCTCACATGCTTAATGCTCACACACCAAACCAGGAAAGACCTGGCTGATGTCAGCTTCATTTAGTTGGCCTGACCCAATTCCCATGCTCTGAGTGCATCTACCTAAGCAGCCCCAAAGTGATATTTTTTTTGTGGTTCCTGTTGCTAAAGATAATTTCTGAGTGAACTTTATTCTGAAGAACTTTAACAGCTTTTCTAAACGGAAGAGGCCAACTTCTTCCCAACAATCCCCTAAGCAATCAGAGAATACTCGTAAAGGAGAGTTCTTAACATACACATGAACTACTACCTGCACAACTATAGATTGATTCAATTGTTATAAGGCATCCATAGGAAATACTGCATCAAATTATCTTAACCAGAGAAAAGCTCAGCAGTATCTTTTAGTTCACTGCCTTCTCATTGTATCCCTCATGCAGATATTCCTGACCACGGTACTCCAATATTTATTTTGATTCTCCCCCTCATTTTGCTTTTACAGAAAAGATTTCTCTCACCACTGAAACGCTGTCCCAACAGCCCCAGGGAAAAAAAGCTATTCAAAGTTTTGGATAATTCACATCCTCCAGAATCTTAATATCCCAGGGAGATAATGTGTATGCATACAACTTTACTGTTTACACCAGTTAAAAACCTCTTATTTCTGTACAATGAAGCTGTAAGAATTAACTAAAAGGCCAGTGCCTGCAGTCCCTATGGTGTGGCTCATGGCCATGGGAATTGATTTTTTAAAAAAAAATAGTTCAGGCCTGACAAGGAAAGTAAAGTGCAAGATCATTTGCAGCCTACGATTCCTGCTGTACTGTTGCTCTTGGGCCAAAATGGTTTGAGACTAGAAGCAATGAATAATCACACACACCTGCCAAAGCTACTTGCTGCAACAAAAATATTGGTATGATAACAAAAATGAGATTTTTACCCTGATTAATTGGAAAAAATACTTGCAGAACAAATACCATTAACAGGTCTCTTTCAAGTCCCTAGCCTTGGAAAGCATCATTCCTAGGCTGCATTCTCCTGCAAACTGTGTATCAGCTTGCGATATTCAAATACAAGGGACCAGTGAAGTACGTGCCATCCTTATTTACAAACATTAACTCCAGAGCAAAGGAATGAACAATTCAGTCTCTCTAACCTCCAGAAGAGTCCACTGGACAAGAAGCAGGATTTGTTGCTGTTCTGCTCAGAAATAACCTGCCTGCAGTCAGGTGTAGCAGTATCTCACTGGCACAAGCAAATATCTCTGCTCATCTGCAGTGGTTAAAAGCTACTTCCAATTTACCCTTTGTCATTGCTGTAACAGGCAAGAAAGAAAATCAAACTTCAGAAGTCTAATGATCATTAACAACAATTTTCCTCTGTTTTACCCTCCTTCATATATTTTTATTTTTCAAGTGCAGTTTGAATATGCATAGTTTACTGTGGAAGATAAAATGTAGTTTTGGCATGGTTATCTGATGGAAATTTATCACATTTCATATTATAAATCAACTCTGACACCACAAGGCCATATACAGTTTACTGTTCTTGTTTATGTACCCCTAAATAACTGTCAGATAAACTAAATTGCAATTCCAGCTTTCCCTGGAATATAGTTAAGATAAAATATCTGGACAACAAAAATCAACAAAACCCTGTAAATGGAGAAGTGTTTATGGAGTAACCAAGACATGGCATTAAGACATAAAGCCCTCATCTAATCCACCCTCCTAAATGAAAACTTCTTAAAACCTCATTGTTTTACACAAAGACTCCATGCAGAGGTCTCCAAACTCAGATCTGACTACAATCGATGTCCTGCAATTATTCAAACATACACTAAAACATGCAAACCATCTGCAAGCTTTCATCAATGTCTTGGTGCAAGAAAAGCACTGATAGTTTTTACATTTTTGTATGAGATTATTACTTTGAAGCATGAGTCAATGGAAGAGAGGTAGATTTTGATCTATATAAGGTCCATCTCATTTATGTACAAGATCAACATCTTGCAAAATACATTTATCGCATGGCTACCTTCCCCATCACCTTTCATGCTTAGAGTTCTGTAAATGGAAATAACTGCTTGCTCCCTCTGCCTTTTCTCTCTTCCCCTAAAATCCAGGCGTGCATCAGCACAGATTATTGCTTTTAGTCACAACATATACACAAAATGGTCTTCTACTAAGGATTCTGATATAAAATGTTTAATCCAGTGGCAATAAAAAGCCAAACCAAATCAAATTTGTGACTTTGGAAAAATCATGTTTTGATTTAAGAGAAAAAAATTATTTGCCATTTTAAATAGCAATTGACCATTTATCTCAGAAGGAAAAGTGTAAAACAAAGCTGATATGCAGAAAGCACTGAAATTTTCCTCAGATTTTTCTAGTATTGGATATTTCTAGGAATTTAAAAAACACGTGGTACACATGGTGGAAAACAGTAAGGTAAACAGTTCTCTGGCACATTAGTACTAAAACATAGAAATTTAAAGCAATAAAATTTAGTCTTTTTTCTTATTTTTAATATCCAAACCCTAACATACACACAAGAGGTAATCAAAAAGCATCTTCATAAACTCACAGGTGTGCAGAGGAATAAGATGAACAAGCTTATGGAGGGTTTTTTTTCCCCAAAGAAAGAGTGACACGTATATTCTGGAAATATTTACTAAAAGACGAACACAGACACACGTAAGTGAAAGACATCAGCACAAAAAAAACCACTTTCTACAGACACATTAAATTCAATTAAAGCTCAGAGTCCTAGTTCCCATCATTTCATTAAAAGAGAAAGCTACCATTTCCTGAGATTTTTCAGTCCAGCTAGCAACCCCCTGCTGCCAACACAGCACTTACAGAAGCCTGGGTTTGTCTCTGTGCAGCTCCTCTCCCTTTCCTTCCCCTCATCTGCTTTGTTACTCTCCTGGCAAAACGGAGAGGGCTCGGTGTCCTTACAGGAGACGAGAGAACGGGCAATGCATGACTTCCGTGGTCCTTACCTTCCCCCCACTCAGAGACTGCACATCCAGCTTCCCTGCACAAGTTACTTGGAGGGTATTTAAAAACAGATGCTCAGAAATCTGAGGAGAACAAAAGCCCAAAGAGTTCAGATTTCCTCTCCTTGATCCGCCTGATGCTGTTGACACTAAGGTGAACACATGATAAGGGGAAGGAGGTGGGATTGTTAGAGAGCATCAGAGGCAGGAGATTGGGAGATGGGGTTCCCTCCGCCTTGACGTGGAGCCCCTTCCTTGCTCCCCCCTTGGCTGGAGAGGAAATAAAATGGAGCCTAGGAGGGAGGGAGAGAGATAATCCTGCAGCTTCATCTGATTAGAGAAACTGGGCCTGTGCAGAGCTGCCAATGCCGCCAGAGAAGCACAGGGAGGGGAGGCAAACAGGGGCAGGAAGAGGAGGAGCAGGGAGGGGGGGAATAAAATTGTAAAGGTTAAAGGAAAATTATAAAGGGTATACAAATTAACTGATTCCTGAGCCAAGGCATCCTGGTATGTGTCCAATATCAACCCTCATATAAAGGTGAAATCACCAGTAGGAAACACCCATTGCTTCTCTTAACATGGAACAATCAGAAAGAAAACAAATCAAACCCCAAGCCCAGAATGTATCCATCCTGGAGGCACAGACTGGGAACAAGGATGTATCCATGGACTGCAAAGAGTGAGATTGTGCTGAGCAAGGAGAAATGGAAAAAAAGCAGTATCTACAGATAATTATCTAGTTTGTACCAAACAGGACACAATTTAGAACACATTTTCTATTGCAAGTCATTTTCCAGAACCTGTTTCCTCTAACTTAAAACACATCTTAGTTGAACCAAAGTGACTTCCAAGGAGTTGGTGCCAGCACACACTGGGGGGCTCGCAGCTGAGGCTGCCGTCCTGCGTGGCTCCCACTTGTGCCACCCTCTGTCCCACACCTGGCACAGGTATTTCTGGGCTCACACAGACCATGGCCATCCCCACCCCTGCAGTACTGCAGCCCTCAGGGGATCCCAGCCTGCCCTGCCTGCATGCAAACATGCATCCCTCACCCTCACCCTCAGCCTGACACAGGGATCACCCAGGCACGGTGCTGAGGGTGCTGCCCTTGAGTATCCCCCACCCTATCCTCACCCAACAGGAATATCCTGCCTTGAGGAGACAGGCACACAGGTCCTCCAAGCTGCCAGGTGTGACCTGTGGTGCACCAGGGAACAGATGTGACTAGAGGAGTCTCGTCCCCATCCACAGTGGCCCATTTGTGTATAGAATCTCTTCTTTTGCTCACCTTTATGAGGGGCTACACTCAATCCTTTCCCAAGGGTCATTCCAAGTTTTCACATTGTAAGCCACTTCTATTCCTTTCTAGCAATCTATTCCCTCCATATAGAACTTCACACAAGGGAGGGTGGCTGGATCTCTAGTGGGGCAAAGAGAAAAATGCCAAAACATCAGAAAAGAACCGTTTCAAGTCCCATTTCTTTCTGATCAGGAAGCAGTTAATAATTCTTGTTACACTTGAACACTTACAGCAGCTCTCAGTTTGTTCCTAAGCCTTCACAACACCCTCCCATCAGACCTAGCTCAGCTGAGAGAGGGGGATCAACACCCCTCCCAAACGCTTTTAGGAATGTACAATTGCTCCCTGAGTCTTCAGAATGGGCTGCAAAACCAGTAAATTTCCTGTGTGCTTCCAGGCTTTGTTCCTAAGATGCACAGCCCCACAGACTCACTGAGCAATCGTGCCCTCGGGCTGCAGGTCAGGAAGCATTTCGGGGGTTAAGAGCCATACATGGGTCAGCAGCAGCTTTCTGGCTGTGTTATTTTACCTGCCATGTATTACAGCAGTGCAGCAGAGCAGGCACATGCAGTCAGCTCTTTGTGCTGACCCTGACATCCTTCCTGCCAGGCTGGAAACATCAGTTCATTGAACCTGTCCCTTCCAGCACATCCTTATCAGCATTCCTGCTGGCCCTAAACCAGGCCTGTTTTCCCCTAAACCCATTACAGAGCAAAGTTGCAGGGCTTTCTTGTCCCAGATTTTCTATGTCCAGCAAGGTTGACTATTTTCATTCGAAGCATCAAAAATGTGCTTACTGGAAGATACTTGTGACCAACTTTAACATCAACAGGTCTCAAATCTGGGCAGCCATAATGATGCAATTGGCATACAGCTTTCTCACTCTAAATTTGATGAGAAAAGGTATAAAACTGCTTGAAATTCAGATCTGGAGAATTTATTCTTGTATCTTTCTTTAAGAAAGTTGATAGTTAAAGGAAGCTGAGTAACCAGTAGCCTACAGATCCATTAGGCCGAATCCAGACAATGCTGATGAGTTTCTTTTGAGAAGAAGGACAGCATTCTTTTTCAAGAGAATGATTTCAGAACATTTCTGCCACTGTGGCTCAGACTGACTAGCATTCATGTTTTCCTGAGAACTCCACCCAGAGCTTAGACATGTGAGAATGTTTTTAATTTGATGAAATTAAAGTCCTATGCCCAGCCATGGAAGAAAGCTTTCAAAATTACCGTTTACTGATATGGGTGCTTGGGGGTCATATGAAAGCAAGCCACCAGCTCCCTGACTTTGAGTCACCTTGTGTGAGGACAGGCAGTCAGCTCTGCTTGCCTGCTGAGGAAGGGCACCACCCAGGCAGAGCTGTCAGACCTGCAGGCCAGCTTTCGTCAGTCTCCATCCAGGCAACCAGGGCTTCCACATGCAAGAGAGGAGAAATCCAGTCCTAACCCAAAAGTTCTTTATTTAACCTAAAATTCACTGCCACACTTTGACCATCTACTCCTCTTCAGAAGAGGAAATGGGGTAGGAAAACCATCCTGATTGATTGGTGCATCCTAAAACCATGTACAGAAGTCCTTCTCTCACCCCTTCCCATTTATAACCCCACAGTATTTTCTTGCACTGCCTGTCTGCTGTCATTTAGAGCAACTTTTTCCTGCCAGGTGGGTGACCTGGACCTGCCCAGACTGTGCCTCCTGAACTCCTCATCAGCCCTGAACCTGCTGCTCTTTGGGGGGCAGGTTTGATGGCCCACAAACACTGCTTGAAATTTGTTCACATCTGTCTGGAGGCTCTGCATGCAAACCCTGGAAGGCTGATATTTGCTGTCTGTTGATTCAAAGCCACTCAAGCCAGTGAAACTTCTCCTTCCACGAGGCAGATTTTATCTTAATGCATTTCTGGGATATGTTCTAGTCTTCTACAATAAGGCAGCCCTCCAGGAACAATATGCTGTCTTGTGGGTAACACTGCTCATTTGCCTGAATGTCATCTGCCACAGCCAATTTGGATCAGGTTTTGGATATCCCCATTGTAAAGTATTTTCAAGTGTTTCTGAAGAATAAGAGCCCCTTAGCACAGTCTGAGAGAGTCTTCAAGATAATAACTAATGCACCATGGACAAATTTAACTTTTTCAATGCCTATAACCAGTCAGAAGCTCTCCACTCCAGATGTTACTTGTTCCTTATTGAAATTGGCATTCTGTATGCAGTTCCAGTTTTCAGTTTTTACATGTACTGAGACACCCAAAATAATTCCAGTCAATCAGGTGTAGGAGCTGGCACAGTAAGTGTTCACACACAAACTCAAAGCAACTGAAATGCACCTGAGACTGTTTAAAAACATGAAACTGACCATCACCTTCCATTTGACATAAACAGCAGGGTTATTCCTTACAGAGATCTATAAAGAAAGCAATTCTGTCAGGTAAGTGATATCACATTAACTTCAAACTTTCCAATACATCCCAATTAATCACCACAAATATCATTCCATTAGGCTATGTGCCACATGCCTAACACATCTGTCAACCTAATTTGTCTATAAACACTCTGTATAGAGTTGTGGATATAAACATAAACACTATATAGTGTGTTTCTATCCAACATGCATCATGACAAGTTCTGCTTCTTGTGCCTGGGAGAAAACAACTCTTGGTTAGACATCCCAATTATAGTAGGCATGATCTCTGAATAAGCCTCTATTCTGCAATTTTATTTTTCTCAGGAAAGGAAGATGATTTGTGTGGGTTTATCTCATACAGTCTCCATGAGATCTGCCAGGTCACCTACATTTATCTTCATTGGGAATAACGCTGTTTTCATTGGGAACACTACTGACATGACTTTTTTCAAGGAGCAACATAGATGCAGCTCTCCTCTTTGCAGAACTAATCTTTTTGAAAGCTGTCAGAATTTTTAGACCTGTGAAAACTGGTGGTTTTGAGATCTGTCATCTCCTTTCTTTTTCATCTTGGATATAAGACCAGCTTTCTCAACAAAGCAGACCAGTTCTTTTGCCTTTATTTTACTTTGGCAGTTAGCGAGGCAGCCCACTGATATAAACAATCTCATGTACTTCAAAGACTTAGCAAATCTCTACAAAGCACTATTTTTAGTTTGGTTATCAAACAAATAGAACAGTAGCTTATGGAGAATGAAAACAAGGTCCCTTTTTTAAGCATGTTTTGCAATAAGCCAAAGATGATATTGCACAAAACCTTACATCTCTTAAATCAAGGGACTATCACATGAACTCTCTGCTCTGCTTCTCCCAGATGTCATTTCCTCCCATGCACAGCCACCAGAATGTCTTCCCTACACTTCCTTAATATCCATTAGCAAAAAGCAATAAATAATTGCACCAAAAAAACCTCAACCCTTCAAGCCAGTTTTGGGGTAGCTTTAAGCTGCCTTTCATGCAATAAGGGCTTTGGCCTTTTGATAATTTAATCACATGTTTAGCTTCACCCTGCATTTGATTGCTATTCTTCCATCTGTTCTGCACTCTCAGTTGAAAAGGAGGCAAGCTAGGACCACATAAGCAGGCAGGGCTCCCAGGGCCTGCTTCCAGATAAAAAAAAACCACTACAGAACACCACACTTAGAGAAGTCACCACTAATTCTGTCCTTATGTGACTTGCCCACCAGGATATTCTTGCAAGTTTGGGCCTTTTTTTTTTTTTTTTTCAAAACTACATTCATGTACATACTAAACCTCCTTGGTTTACTTTTACAAATGGTGTCATTCAAAAAAAAAATT